AATTTATTGAGATGCACCTGTATATATATATATATATATATATGCTCGGTTCTTCTACTTACAATTCCTATCTGAATTAATGGACAGTATGGATGCTACTCTAGATGTTTGATGGTGAGGGTCGGGGGATTGTTGTATGTGATTTAGAATGTAAATATAAATAAAAAAACTTTGAAAGAAGAATGCATGACAGACAAATAAAGTGAACTACTTGTTCTTTTTTTCTTTTCACATGCCACTTAAGGGCAAGTAAATAGAATGTATTACAATAATAGACCGGTATAGGGAAATGGCTGTCAAGTAACACCAAAAATAAAAGACGTGGAATATGTGATCAGAACTTCTGTGCTGATTTCATAGAAAACAAAGCAAATGGATCTGGTGGATTTGAAAAAACAAAAAGGTGCAAACATGCACACATCAACATAAGCTAAATAAAACTGGAACTATTAGCTCTGGAAAATCACTTTTGATTAAAATATTAAACTTTCAGCTCAGTCTATGAAATTTTCGCCTTCAGAGAACATATGCAATTTACGATCAAATACAGAAACTCCTTGTACAGAAGGAGAGAGTATACAGTTTTTACAATAAATAGGACCCATTTTTCAACAATTAGGTACAAAACTGAAATAGACAGAAATTTGCTATATTTCTAAAGTAATAGTATAATCCAAATCTAAAAAGTAAAATACTATCAAAACATATAGATGTGGAGCTAGATTTCATTACCATCTATACAAAATTGGGAATAATTGTGTTCTGAAATGTCAACATAGACTGTGTAACATTTACAGCAGTGAATTCGGAACAGTAGAGAGCTGTCATTCTTGTTTTGTAAAAAAAGAAACAAAAAGTGACAAAGTGTGTTTGTTGGGTAAAAACCTTTGCTAGTGTTATGAAAGAAAATGGCTTGATTTGACACCTGTATGAAATGGTTTGGTCGTTTTAGCGCGTTTTCGATGCAAAATGTGTTTTGGATAAAGGTTGATAAGAAGAACTGTGTGAAGAGATATGAAAACGTGACCCAAGTATTGAGAAATGGATCCTAGTTATTGTAAAAGGTGCAAGTGCACCATTTTTGTATTTGTCCACTAGGTGGCAGGCCAGCATTATAATGCTTTTGAAAATAATCATGCAGCAACAACAAAATCTAAAAAAATAAATAAAAAAAAGTTGAGCAGCCATCAGTACTTTCTGTTAATATTTTATCATCTGATGTAACTTTCTACAAACCTGCAGACAGGGTTACCACACTTTTGATCAATGGATATCAATGTATGACCTTTCTTGACATTCATGATTACAAGATAAGGATATATAGACTATGACTTATTTTATATTTCAGGTGCCAGTCTTTCAATTATTTGGTTTAGAAAAAAGTATGTGCATGTTTCCTCCAGGTCTGAAAATCAATGTTACAACTTTTTAAGATTTTGTGTTTTTCAATGACTGTGAGAACAATATGCAGAAATAAAAATGATGATTTCTTTACAAAAGCACAAAGTTAAGCGGTAAAGTACATGCTGGCATAAAAAAATACCCTAAATACAAACTTCTATTAAAGCAAAATTTGAAATGATAACATCATTTAAGGGTTATGACGATCTGAAAGCATGTGTATATTCTGCCCAACTGTTTCAAAAAATAATCATAGCAATATCTGTTCCGTTTGTAGTACAGCAGTTTATATAAATGCATATTATCTTTCTATGGAGCTTCAAACTAACCTGATTTGGTATTTCCACAGGAATACTGTTCCCCTTCAGGAACTCGAGCTGCGTCGAAGTCGCTTTGGGAACGCCCCTGCGTGACCGCGTTCTGAAGCACGTGTCAAATCAGTCCAATGGAGTAGTGAGACGTCACGAGCGGGGTGACGTAAGCACCAGAAAGTATAAAAGCGCATCCGGCAGAGCGCAAACCAGCTTCTGCTCTTCAGTAGCACTCTGTGTATGTGTCTGTCTATTTACTGTTGTCTGTCCGCACAAGCACTTATATATATAAAACAATGAAAAAGTCTATGGCGAACGAACGGCAGTACAAACGCTGTGTTCCTCCCTGCCCACGATATCTGACGGCAGGGGATACACACGATTTGTGTGTCGTTTGTTTGGGAGCGGAGCATGCACGGTCAGCTCTCGAG